TTTTATACACTGAACGTACTGTTTACGAATTATTATTTTTAATCAATAACAATCTAGAAGCCAGCTCCTAAATGTCCTCTATGTTTACTTCTAACATTCGGTTTTCGGACAAGCAAGGGGTATTGTAGTCTTTCACTGAATTGAATTAAGTGTGTCCGCCGGTGGCCCGGCAAGTTTCTATTTGGCACCCTGGGCTATCTTTTGAGCGCTATGGTGTATTCGTTCGTTTTCTGCAGTGCGATAGATTATGGATAGACTATGGATAAGAATTATTACTAAAGTCCTTCATTAAATCGAATCCACGGCGTCTTCTGGCGCCCCAACAGATTGCTTTTTGGCGCCCCGGTTCTTCCCGTTAGCGATATGGCACCTAAGTTCTTTTAAGTGAGTGCAAAAGTCTATGGATAAGTTGGGGTATTTTGAGCGTTTACTACGTTGAATCAAGCGGTGTCGCCGGCGCCTCGATTTTTCGCCTCTGTTTGCATTTTTTTTTTGTATTTATTGCTCGCGTTTTCTTTTCACTTATTTGAGTTTATTTTTTTTTTTGCGTTTAAAATTTGCGATTGTGTTTCTATTGGTGTTTGTATATGAGTTTGTGTTTATTTTTGCGTTTGTGTTTGTGTTTGTGCTTTTGCTTTTGTTTGTGTTTGTTTGTGTATCTGATTTCTTTGTGATTGCTATTTTATTTCTATTTGCGTTTGGGTTTATGCTTGCGTGTTCTTTGTTATTGCGGTTGTGTTTTCGTTTCGGTTAGTGTTTGTGATTGCGTTTGTTTTTTGTTTGTGTTTGAGGTTTCATTGTGTTTGGGTTTGCATTTGTTTTTGGGTTTCGATTGTGTTTGTGTTTCAGTTTTCGTAATGTATGCGCTTTTTGTGTGCTTTGGTTTTGGTTTGTTGCGTTTAGGGTTAATTCGAAAAGTAATATATTTCCAAAATCCCGGACAATGCCGGGCTCATACTGCTTAATAAACAATCAAGCAATGTTCCTTTAGATATAGGTTTTTCACACAGTCCAGTGCAGGTCTTGGCCTATACGGCTAGTATACATATATATATACATATATATATATATATAAATAAATATACAATAATATATATAAATGTATATTTATATATATATATATATATATATATATATATATATATATATATATATGTATATATATATATATAAATATATATATATATATATATATATTTATATATATTATTGTATACATATATATATATATATATATATATATATATATATATATATATATATATATATATATATATATATATATATATATATATATATACATACATATACATATATGTATATATATGTATATATATATATATATATATATATATATATATATATATATATATATATATATATATATATATATATATATATATATATATATATATATATACATATATATATACATATATACATATATATATATATATATATATATATATATATATATATATATATATATATATATATATATATATATATATATATATATATATATGTATATTTATATATATATATGTATATATATATATATGTATATATATATATATATATAGGCCTATATATATATATATATACATATCTAGAGAGGCAGAGGAGAGAGACTACATTTTCCCTGTTGGAAAAGCAAAAAGTTTCTAAAATCAAAATTAGTTTGAATAAGATCTAGTTTTTGAAGATTAATGTTGACATTCTCCTTTTTTTAAATCTTAATTTTTGATAAAATAAACCGTGTGTGATCTCCCCTAAACTTTCTCGAATATTCTTATATATCACTATGGGGGATGGCAACTCGAGATATAGATACTATTTTTAATCCACTTTTTATTAATTCAACTTTTAAAAAATAGAATAGAATCTCGTAGAAAAAAGAATTGAGCACCAAATGAACGCCAAACAAAAATGTGTATATAATAATGTGGAATATTATTAGTACTTCATAAATTCACATGCATTTTTTGAGAAATCAGAAATAGCGTAAATTTCTACTTCCGTTCAACAGAAATTACTCAAAATTTAATAGATGGCAGAAATTAAAAATTTTGACTTACAAGTGAATTTTTTTTTATCTATCTGAAATAGTACTTTAGTTATAGCTTTTTGAAAAATTGAAAGTAGAAAACGTTCCACTTCCAATAATCGGAAATCGCTAAAAAGTTGATACAAATCTACAAATTTGATATAATACCTGTACATGAAATTTCATTAACCTAGATGTAACGGTACTCAAGTTATTGTGTTTTCAGACACGCACATACACACACACGCGCGTACACACAGACATACAGACAAAATTGCAAAACTTTGTTATTACGACTCAGGGAGTTGTAAAACGTCGAGATTTGCAAAAATCTGGAATTTTTTTTTTCCTTTTTTTTTCTTTGCACGATATTACTACTTTTACTATATTTCGTATACGAGAAAGGAAAAATGGAAAAATATAAATAATATTTGTATTGTATATTACCCAGCACTTATAACTGGGGATGTTATAAGCAATTGTTAATAGAATTTATTGTATTTTGCTTATCAATTAAGAATCTCTTACCTATTCGAAAATATAATATGGTCGACCAGATACCATCCTTGAAAATCAACCAGCCACCAGCCTGGGTAATCCGTTTGCGTGTGAGTGCAATCATAGTTTACTTGGTTTTGAACTCTGATTCCATCATTCCCCAAATTAGCTCTCCCCCAATCAGGTGGCGGTGTACCAACTGGAGAGCTCTGATATGCAGGTTTGAAAAGGGCAGCATTTACCAATGGTTTGGAATCCACGAAATGACTTAGTAAAGAAACGATGAAGACGATGATAGTATAGAAAGACATTTTGTCTCTGTAACACCACAAATGTTCTGACACTAAGTCTCGTTGCTAACGTCAGCTTGCAATAAATGATGTCAATAATTGTCAAACGTGTGCGCTGCAAAGATATGGCGATATGGTCGTTATGTCGTTTGAATAATTTATTGACTTCTTTATTACACATTGCAAAAGTGAAAACAAAACATCGTTTTATGTTACACGGTTTCTTTTGTTTTCTTTGTTGACTTCGTGTTTTTCAGTTTTCGCCCTAGCTTTTCTAACGGAAAATGAAGTATACAAGAATTGTGTTCTTCCTGCGTATTTTACCACAGCAGCAATGTGTTATTGTTCACTCTGCCGTACTGTCTGTTACACTGTGATAACCTCTGTGTCGTCAATAAATCATGACCTACGTGTTTATTTTGAACAAAATTGGTTCGGTTTAAGTAAATGAAATTCTAAACATTCTGTTTTCCGCCGTTCGCTGCCGCACCAAAAATTAACCATGAGATGAGAAATTAAGTTTAGTATCTTGTCTTCTTCTTCTTCTTCGTTCTGAATTTTTAGTGTTGGAAGGGATCGAGCCATATCTGACAGAGGGTTTGAACTCGAGATTATTTCAGATTCATCAACCATGAGCTTTGCTGACTCGACCATGCCTCCATCACAATTAAGGAAACATGTCAACTGGTTATGCGCCATTGAGGCCACTGACTCTGATTTCAGCCTGCTTTTCTTTTTGGATTTGCTTCCATAGCCTTTGTCCAACAAAGAACAAACGACAAGGCAGCAGTTGTTTAATTTTAGTATCTTGTAAATTATATTGTTCTTAAAAGTTCAGTTTCGTACAACTATTTATAGATCGAATTTTTTTATGTTTTTTCTAGTATACAAAGTATAGAAAAACTAGTGTAATAAAGCACACACAATAAGTGATATTTTAATCGTTTTCACCGTTTTACACTTCCATAATTTATCGTATACAGAGTATAAATAATGCATCGTATAAAAATGGCTTGCTTGGAAAGTGGGGAAAAAAAGAAAAAAAATTCGAAAAAAAACCCAAAGACCAGCGAAAATAAAAAGCAGTAACGAAAATGTTGTAACTATAAATGCACTAAATATAGGAACATAGGACAAACTTCATTAGTAAAAGCTTTAATCGCTAAAATTATGTAACAGTTCTTATCAAGGACCATAGCTTTGTTTGTTTTGTTTTCTTATTTTCAGTGAAATTAATCTAAACTTCTTAAAATAAAAGGATTTTACTTTAATGTTGTTTTTTTTTTAATGTTGAGTAAATGCAATTCGATTTTAATCTCGTATATTCAAAATCCTAGCACCAACAAAACAGTCCATAATATACTACTATTTAAATAACTACAAAGAAAAGCAGTTCATTGGGCAGATGAAGTGGAGCTCATATGTTTCTTGACCTGGGCAGATGAAGGAAATGTGTGTTTAACACTTTATCCTGCCGCCTTTTTCTAACATGAGTTAAATACCTATCTGTTCAGGGTGGACTCAAAAATATCCTATTAGCTTGGACCCGGATTCGAACTTGAGACGTTCGTGTTACTAGCCTAGCCTATGGTGCTGTCTTATAATAAATAGAATGAAAAATTTTAAAGCATTATCGAGTCTACTGCCATCTTAGTTTTGATAGAGGCCTAAACGTCAAAAGTAATCATTTGGTTTTTATTAAATATTAATTTTTATTAATTCAGTTATATACTTAAAAGATGACACGATGCTCTTTTAAAGCTGTTTTAGAAAGTGCAAATATAATACCGACACCTCAACAGTGAACAGGACAGGTCTGTAATAAAAATACACAAATATAATTATAATTAATATATGCAATAACACTTTACCATTAATCACCAATTAATATTAAAAGTAAAAAAGAAAAAAAAAACGAAATGATTTATTTGTAATTATTAAAAACTATATATACATTGTATTAAATTTAGATATAACAAAAAATGTACAGTAGCAAATGTGAGTTACTGCTAGAAATATGACAAAGAAGTGTATTTAAATTGTAATAGTTATTATATATCACACTATGTAAACCATTTAATAAATCGTGTAATGAGTAATTTCAGAGATTACATGCTTTACATACACTTCATACAGGGAAATTTTCCGTCGTATTATTTGTTTATTTTGTGTCATCCTCAGTACACCCACTCCCCACTATAGTTTCCCTCAGGGTTTGATCCACTGTGGGGAAGCCACCACTCGCAATATCCCAGCCTGCAGACAGTCGCTCCACTGGAGCCAGGACATGTACATGTTGTGTACCAGTACCTGGTGTACACGCCATCCCTCTCATGTTTGTGTGGCCATCGTCCTACAGAGACCTGTTTAGGACAGCCATGAGGATGTGACACTATAACGGTTAACTTGGCCACATCAACGATTTTTCTGTATATATTTCTTACTTCCTCACATAGATAAACAAAGTAACGACATATGTTATCAAGTTCATCAACCAACTCTAAGTCACATGTCACATATCTCAACTCACACCTGTCACTTTCAATGTCTGGCCACCTAACCTCCCAGCCATCAAGACTGACCACTGGACTTTTATTGTCATCAAAACCTAAAACACACCTGGTCTGTCTCGCCTCACTGTCATCAAACACACGTGTGTGGCTGTCAACACATGAACCTCCCCCCACACTTTGCTGGGTGTGGCAGAGACTTGACACTTGGCACAACGACAAGTTCTGTCATTCTCTGTGTACTTATCCACACTCCACACCCTCCCCGTCCCTAACCTCATCACGTGACTTCCTCTGTCATTATAACATGGATATGGAACTTGAGTGCCTGGGTAAAACTCTGGTCTCTCTAGACTGGTGAATTTAGTCTTTACCTGGACAGTTACGGCTGCCAATGTTTTGATTGTCTCAAACATGAGCTCGATGTCATTGTAACGTGAGGGGAGATAATTTGTGTTGAAATCTTTAAGAGGTATAAAACCTTTGTGACCTGGATTCTTCATACAGCCAGCAACATGTTTGTGTAGATCAGCTTCTCCTCCATAGCACATCTCAGCTTCATGATTTCCTGCAGGAACATAATAGGTGCAACTTATTACAACTGTTTTTTTTTTAATTTAGGTTTAAGTATTGTCTGTTATGTTTTCATTATAATATTAGATACATTGTTTGATACTTAATTTATTGTTCACCATTAAAATCAAAATGTATGATAATGTGAAGATTGTTAACCTTTATATTTCCTATACCTTCACTTAAGAATCATATGACTTGATAGTATTAAACCTCACAAAAATGTACCTGAATTACAAAAATCTGCATTCCTAGGATTTGTTGTTTTGGCTTTTAATGTTAAAATTAGCAGCGTTTTAAAAAAAAAATGGATTTTAAAGTAGATTTTTTTTCTAAAAAATACACGAAATATGCATCTTACAATAAGAAATATAAATACTTATAGAAATAAGCCCTTACAGGTTTGCAAGTTCAATATAAAAAACATAACTTTAGTATGAAAACGTTTTATACGTCCACATAGTACTATTAGTATACAAGGCTAGTACGTATAGAATGATGTTTAGCTTCTAGGAAAAAAACAAAAGCAACTGTTGGACAAATATAAGACCAACATATAAGGTTAAATGTGTAATTTGTTGTGTTTTTCACCGTTATCGTTTGATAAAATATTGCAGGTTATAGACAAAAAAAAATTAAACATATTTTTTTCTCTTATTATTATACTCTGAATTGTTGGTTGTTGGTTTTTTCCTACACAATATACAGATAGACAACACTTATCTTTACTACTGTTTCTATTGCATAATATACATTTTTTTAAAAATACAGATAATGTATTTATCCTACCTCTAATAGCTGCTTCCATTTTCTCTTTTCCGCCTATATTTTCCATTTGTTTTATCGCTATAGAAAAAGGTACTTTATATATACAAATTAGCAATCGATGGTACTGTGCATGTGTGTTTTTACAAACAAATCGCAGAACCCTAGCCCTAGCCCTAGCCCTAGCCCTAGCCCTAGCCCTAGCCCTAGCCCTAGCCCTAGCCCTAGCCCTAGCCCTAGCCCTAGCCCTAGCCCTAGCCCTAGCCCTAGCCCTAGCCCTAGCCCTAGCCCTAGCCCTAGCCCTAACCCTAACCCTAAGCCTATCCCTAAACCTTAACCTAACCCTAGCCCTAGCCCTAGCCCTTACTCTCACCCTATCGCAGCTATTAAGGTCATTATTGAGTTTCGTATTTTCTGCCGACAAATATATTTTTCACGAGTAGTCACTTCGTAAAACAAATGCACGTAAGACATATGTAAGGATATAAGTTGGTGCAGTTTTACCTACTAGAAAGCTTAACTTTGAAAACTAACACCATTTTTACAAGCTTTTATTTAATTCACTTCCTCGTCAGTCTGTCGTCAGTCTACTATTTAAATTACTATAAAGAAAAGCGTGGGTCTCTTCCCAAATATAAGTAAAGGTATCCAATAGATACTAAAGTGACCCACGCTTTTCTTTATTGTAATTTAAATAGTAGTGTCTAATATTTAATATTTAGGAAGTAACCCACCTTTTTTAAATAGTTATTTAAATAGTTGTGTATAATTTATTTTCTACTTTTTAGTGCATTATTACATAAAAGCTTGTTATTGAAACGTTTTTTTATGAATTTTTTTTTTAAATATTCGTAGAAAAAGTGCTGGACCCCCCCCCCCTTCTATTGGCTAGCCCTCTGTATGAAGGTAATACAAATTAATATTAAACGCCTACCTTCTGCACTACACTTGAAAAAGTTTTGTAAAAATGTCTTACTGAAATTTGTTTCTTTTGTTTTAGTTAATTTTAGCAACACGTAAACTGGGTTTTCCCGATGAATATAAATAACAGTACGATAAATCCATTGAGCGAATTATTTCGAAGTTTTGGAACGCTTATTACTATTAAGAGTATACTATTAGGTCAATGAAAGGCGTACTAAAAATAATTTTTTTAAATATTTAAAGACTTTAAACTTATATTCTACTATTTGTATTTAATTTGTTATTATTATAATGTAGTATATTTTGGAGAGTGCATACTATAAGAAAAAAGTCCAGCTCTGAAAAATTCATCAATGTTCGAATTCGTCTCTTTAAACTGTCTAGTCCACTGTTGCCCAAAGGCGTAGCGACCCTTCCTGGCGCCCGGGGACACATTTTCATTTGCACCCCCCTCAAACTTTCAATTTGTTTTTCCAACCCATTTTGGCCCCCCCCCCCCTAGGGTCGGCGCCCGGTGACATATTTCTCCCGCCCCCCCCCCCCCCCCGTCGCTACGCCTCTGCTGTTGCCACATCTTCAGCTGCGAAGTCAAAGGGAAGTGGGAAGAGGGAGGGACTGGGGGTGCATCTCTTCCTAAACATTCATATTGTGATTACATTGAAAGTCAGTTTTCTAGTCTAGGGGTCAGCCGTCGAGCAAACAATGATTATAGTCCAATGTTGTTTTGTTCAATTGGCGATCTTGTCTTAGCTGCAAGGTGTTGTGTTACAGTTGATAAAGTTGATCCCTAGTATTGTCGTATAGTCGCTTTAGAAATAGTCGATATCGCATTTCCTGTAACATTTTCTATGGAATTTGGAATTAATTCTCGTGGAACAAATCGTTTGTCTTAAAATAGCCGTCGCTGTCAGTTTATCATCGGTTTGTTTTTTTTTTAAATTGGTCGATGTGGTTGAGGGTATTTGTTTTGTTTAGTGTACCACTTCTCATTTTAATGTATTTTGTCCCTACTAGAATAGGGATCCAAAATTTAACTTTTAAGTTTTGGTTAGTTGAGATTTAAATCATTTTGAAAATTTCCTTGCTATAAGCATAGTATAATCTAAATATTGTTAAGGTTTCGTTAGGAGTATTTTTATGAATACTTTTTCTGTATAAATAGATTTATATTAACATTTGTTTTAAATCTTTAAAAGAAATATTTAAGGCATAAAATTTTTAATAACATACTTGCATAGTCAATCATTATCTAAAATATTTCACAGACGGAATACTAATTAATAAAAAATATTCAAAATATGCTTTATTATTTCCCTTAGATTTTGTTTACTATGTAGTGTCAACCAAATGCTGATTTGCTTTGCCCTCTTGCTGTTCTATTAAGCTCTGCATAGGTGGGGCGAGGAAGTGACTTAGTAAGCAGGACGCCGGCTACACTAGGCACTGATTCTTGAGGGCGCCAGAAGAAATTAGGGATCTTATCCAGATAAGCCCCGCCAAAATGTTAACCCTTTACCCAAACAAAGATTTAAAAAAAATGGATACGAAATTTGTACGTGTACTGACCCTAACCTTAACACTAATCATGACGAAACTAGCCCTAGCCCTGGCCCTAGCCCTAGCCCTAGCCCTAGCCCTGGCCCTGGCCCTAGACCTGGCCCTGGCCCTAGCCCTGGCCCTAGCCCTAACCTAAGACCCAGACCCTGCTTTACCACAAGTCCTCTTAACCTAACCGTAAACGTAGAGACGGATAAGTTGCTTTAATGACGTGCGTTTTACTATTCAAATGTCTCGACATCAGAAGTAGGTCACGGTTGTGTGCTTGTGGGCTAAAAATGGCGGAGATTCACTTTTCGCCCTTAAAATTTTCGCATTAGTGGTGGGGCTTATCTGTTAAAGAACCGAAATTGGTATAATAAGCATAAAAAATGTAAGTCTTACTAATTTAACACAGTAGGATGTAAGAAAATAGACTGCTACAAGACATTATATAATGATGTAACTATGGTCTATATCGTTTAAGTGTAATATGGTTCAGTAAATATCTGAGCCTTAGTGTGTAGACTGTAATGGGTTTGTCTTGTGTAGGTGTGTCAACGTGTCCCATGCGTATTTGTCTTGTGTAGGTGTGTCAACATATCCCATGCGTGTTTGTCTTGTGTAGGTGTGTCAACGTGTCCCATGCGTGTTTGTCTTGTGTAGGTGTGTCCCGTGCGTGTCTGTCTTGTCTTGGTGTGTGAACGTGTGTCTTGAAGTGTTTGTTTTGTCCATCTGTGTGAACGCGTGTATTTGTCTTATCAGACAGGTGAGTTGGTGTTGGTGGTATCAGACAGGTGAGTTGGTGTTGGTGGTATCAGACAGGTGAGCTGGTGTTGGTGGTATCAGACAGGTGAGCTGGTGTTGGTGGTATCAGACAGGTGAGCTGGTGTTGGTTGTATCAGACAGGTGAGCTGGTGTTGGTGGTATCAGACAGGTGAGCTGGTGTTGGTTGTATCAGACAGGTGAGCTGGTGTTGTTGGTATCAGACAGGTGAGTTGGTGTTGGTGGTATCAGACAGGTGAGCTGGTGTTGGTGGTATCAGACAGGTGAGCTGGTGGTATCAGACAGGTGAGTTGGTGTTGGTGGTATCAGACAGCTGAGCTGGTGTTGGTAGTATCAGACAGGTGAGCTGGTGTTGGTGGTATCAGACAGGTGAGTTGGTGTTAGTGGTATCAGACAGGTGAGCTAGTGGTATCAGACAGGTGAGTTGGTGTTGGTGGTATCAGACAGGTGAGCTGGTGTTGGTGATATCAGACAGGTGAGCTGGTGTTGGTGGTATCACACAGGTGAGTTGGTGTTGGTGGTATCAGACAGGTGAGCTAGTAGTATCAGACAGGTGAGCTGGTGTTGGTGGTATCAGACAGGTGAGCTAGTGGTATCAGACAGGTGAGCTGGTGTTGGTGGTATCAGACAGGTGAGCTGGTGGTATCAGACAGGTGAGTTGGTGTTGGTGGTATCAGACAGGTGAGATGGTGTTGGTGGTATCAGACAGGTGAGCTAGTGGTATCAGACAGGTGAGCTGGTGTTGGTGGTATCAGACAGGTGAGATGGGGTTGGTGGTATCAGACAGGTGAGCTGGTGTTGGTGGTATCAGACAGGTGAGCTGGTGTTGGTGGTATCAGACAGGTAAGCTGGTGTTGGTGATATCAGACAGGTGAGCTGGTGGTATCAGACAGGTGAGCTGGTGTTGGTGGTATCAGACAGGTGAGTTGGTGTTGGTGGTATCAGACAGGTGAGCTGGTGTTGGTGGTATCAGACAGGTGAACTGGTGTTGGTGGTATCAGACAGGTGAGCTTCTGGTATCATACAGGTGAGCTGGTGTTGGTGGTATCAGACAGGTGAGTTGGTGGTATCAGACAGGTGAACTGGTGCAGGTGGTATCAGACAGGTGAGTTGGTGTTGGTGGTATCAGACAGGTGAGCTGGTGTTGGTGGTATCAGACAGGTTAACTGGTGCAGGTGGTATCAGACAGGTGAGTTGATGGTATCAGACAGATGAACTGGTGTTGGTGGTATCAGACAGGTGAGCTTGTGTTGGTGGTATCAGACAGGTGAGTTGGTGGTATCAGACAGGTGAACTGGTGTTGGTGGTATCAGACAGGTGAGCTGGTGTTGGTGGTATCAGACAGGTGAGCTAGTGGTATCAGACAGGTGAGCTGGTGTTGGTGGTATCAGACAGGTGAGATGGGGTTGGTGGTATCAGACAGGTGAGCTGGTGTTGGTGGTGTCAGACAGGTGAGCTGGTGTTGGTGGTATCAGACAGGTGAGCTGGTGTTGGTGGTATCAGACAGGTGAGCTGGTGTTGGTGGTATCAGACAGGTGAGCTGGTGTTGGTGGTATCAGACAGGTGAGCTGGTGTTGGTGGTATCAGACAGGTGAGCTGGTGTTGGTGGTATCAGACAGGTGAGTTGGTGTTGGTGGTATCAGACAGGTGAGCTGGTGTTGGTGGTATCAGACAGGTGAGTTGGTGTTGGTGGTATCAGACAGGTGAGCTGGTGTTGGTGGTATCAGACAGGTGAGCTGGTGTTTGTGGTATCAGACAGGTGAGTTGGTGTTGGTGGTATCAGACAGGTGAGTTGGTGTTGGTGGTATCAGACAGGTGAGCTGGTGTTGGTGGTATCAGACAAGTGAGTTGGTGTTGGTGGTATCAGACAGGTGAGTTGGTGTTGGTGGTATCAGACAGGTGAGTTGGTGTTGGTGGTATCAGACAGGTGAGCTAGTGGTATCAGACAGGTGGGCTGGTGTTGGTGGTATCAGACAGGTGAGCTGGTGTTGGTGGTATTAGACAGGTGAGCTGGTGGTATTAGACAGGTGAGTTGGTGTTGGTGGTATCAGACAGGTGAGATGGGGTTGGTGGTATCAGAAAGGTGAGCTGGTGTTGGTGGTATTAGACAGGTGAGCTGGTGGTATTAGACAGGTGAGTTGGTGTTGGTGGTATCAGACAGGTGAGATGGGGTTGGTGGTATCAGACAGGTGAGCTGGTGTTGGTGGTATTAGACAGGTGAGCTGGTGGTATTAGACAGGTGAGTTGGTATTGGTGGTATCAGACAGGTGAGCTGGTGTTGGTGATATCAGACAGGTGAGCTGGTGTTGATGGTATCAGACAGGTGAGCTGGTGTTGGTGGTATCAGACAGGTGAGCTTGTGTTGGTGGTATCAGACAGGTGAGCTGGTGCTGGTGGTATCAAACAGGTGACCTTGTGTTGGTGGTATCAGACAGATGAGTTGGTGTTGGTGGTATCAGACAGGTGAGCTGGTGTTGGTGGTATCAGACAGGTGAGCTGGTGTTGGTGGTATCAGACAGGTGAGTTGGTGTTGGTGGTATCAGACAGGTGAGTTGGTGTTGGTGGTATCAGACAGGTGAGTTGGTGTTGGTGGTATCAGACAGGTGAGCTAGTGGTATCAGACAGGTGAGCTGGTGTTGGTGGTATCAGACAGGTGAGCTGGTGTTGGTGGTATCAGACAGGTGAGCTGGTGGTATCAGACAGGTGAGTTGGTGTTGGTGGTATCAGACAGGTGAGATGGGGTTGGTG